AATGATGTTAAAAATGTCAAGACTACACAATTACTCATATCAAGGCATATGATTTACATTTTAAAAACTTTAAAATCGAATTACTTCAGATAGTGTGAAAGTACACAAATATTAATTATTAAAAATTATATTTATATAATTCACAGAAAATAAAATTAATCTTTCTGCTTAAATGAAGGTTTAGCAGGTATAGCAATTTTAACTTTTTTCTCTAAAATATTTGAAAAAATTTCATGAGAATAAAAATTATTTCACCAGAATACATTTGCTTAAATTTATAACAATTGCTTAATATTCGATTATTAAATGAGAACACGTTAACGTGTCTGTAGAAACCCAGTATTTTATAATCTAGTATATATTCATCTCACTGAGTTCTTTTTAACAGATTTCTAAATATTGTCTTTCATCAAATCTAAGATGGCATCAACTATACGACCAGTATTTTAAAAAATTAAAAAACACTATCAATTAAACTATACCCATTTCAGATATAAATTGTGTCAGAATTGATGAAATATGGTAGGTAAAAATATATGTGAAAAAATTCAAAACAAACATTGTACATCTAAAGCATCTGTATTACACCTTCAAACATAGGTGGAATATTCTTGAGATTAGAGGATTTGCAAAGTACCTCAATCCTGTGGTATGGGGGATCCATCATGTACAGGAGAATATGAATCATGTTACTGGTACTCTTTAGGTTACAATCGAAACCACTCTGTCCCTTAAAATTCTACAACTATATGAATAACTCATTCAGAAATCTATGTGCTATATATTCACTCAGCGAGATGTGGAAATAAACAGCTTAGTGTTTATTTAATGAGCATATTTGAACATAAAGTATTCTTTTAGTATTGCTTAACTTCAGAAAATTAAAAACAAAATTTATGAGTAAAACATTATACAAAGGGGGAAAGCCAGATTTTACTCGTTATTTTCCTCATTAAATATATAGAAACAATATTATAAGAAAATGAATACGACACAAGAGTCACTCAATAAGCACTTGGTAAATTTATGGCAAATGTTACTTTCAGTCTTTCAATATTGGCAGACCAGTCAGTCCTGTAGCCAGTTTTGCTTATTCTGAACACCAAAAAAAAAAATGCTTTCCCCAAGGTCTTACACTCCAGTGGAATAAAGACAACCATATAAGCAGACACATTCAAATACAATGCAATAAGTTGTTGCAAAGATTTTGCTTTGCAGAAGATTTTGCTGGATACACTAAAGATATCTCACTGATCAAGGGAGAATATAGAAGTTACTTAACATTCTCCAGAAGAAAAGCTAAAAATGTTTATTTCAGAAGTAAGAAGAGATAATTCCCTTAGAATAAACTAGGGAGTGGAGGAAAGTTAGGTAATCCACAATATACTCTGGTTCCTCTCTAGTATGACTTTCTAAGTAAAATGAGGAATGGCATACACTCTAACAGCGGTCTCCAACCTTTTGGCAGCAGGGACGGGTGCTCCTATGAGAATGTAATGCCTGATGATCCGAGGTGGAGCTGAGGCAGTGATGCTAGCGCTGGGGAGTGGCTGCAAATACAGATGAAGCTTTACCTGCTTACCACTGTTCACCTCCTGCTGTGCAGCCTGGTTCCTAACAGGCCACAGATTGGGGACCGCTGCTCTAGAAGATGTGAGGTCTTCTGACAGAGAACACTTAAATGAATATAACTGATCTCTGAGTCTAGGAAGCTGCAGTTAGCTTCCAAAGTCAGAATACCACATTAAACAAAACAAGTAAATATTCTTCCAAATCACTGCTTGTAAGGTAAACACTTCAGAAAATTAAAGACTTTTCAATAATTGATATATTTCCACTCAGGAAATAACTACTTACATCAATATGGTTGAGTAAACCAAAACTGGTTTGGGTAACAGATGACACCAGAATGAATAACTTACAGTACAAGCTATGCATTGTTTGTACTTTTTGATAACATTCCAGTCACTAGACTGAATCTATAATTACAGTACTTACAAAGAATAATTTACTTGAAGTATACCTGATATCTGGCTATATAACTTTTCTTAATGTAAGATTAAACCTCACATCTGGCAAGGTGCTTAGACTCCTACCCCTCTGTCATAATGGTAATCATGTAAAATAATCCTAACCAAATCAATTAGAACTTACATTATGTTGACATGTTTTTAAAACAAAAAGCCAGCCAGATGATAAAGTACATACCAAAAGCCAGACTTTGCATCCTAATAAAGCAGAAAACTGGACTTTATCAAAATTTAAAACTTTTACATTTCAAAGGACACCACTAAGAAAATGAAAAAGCCTATAGAATGGGAGAAAATACTTGCAAACCATTTATCTGATAAAGGACATGCATCTAGCATACATGAAGAATTCTTATCACTCAAAAATAAATAGAAACCCCCCATTAAGAAATGAACAAAGAATCTGAATAGACATTTTTCCAAATAAGACATACAGATGACCAATAAGCACATGAAAAGATGCTCAAAATCATCAGTCACCGGGAAAATGCAAACCAAAACCACAACAAAATACCGTGTCGCACCCACTAGGATAGCTAGAAAATTCAAGCAATAAGTGTTTCTGAGGATGTGGAATAATCACAGGAATACAAAACAGCTTCCCCTTGGAAAACAGTCCAGTACAAACAATTAAACATTGTTACCATATAACCCAGCAATTCCACTCCTAGGTACATACCCGGAAAAATGAAAACATGTCCATCTAAAAACTTGTACGCAAATGTTTATAGCATTATTCATAATAACCAAAAGGTAGAAACAACCAAATCAACAGGTAAATGGAGAAATAAAATGTGATATATATAAATAAGATATTCAGAGCCATAAAAAGGGATGAAGTACTGATACATGCCACAACATGGATAAACCCTAAAAACATTATACTAAGTGAAAGAAGCGAGACACGCTAAATAATAGTTCCCCACGCTAAAAAGACCACATAATGTATACAATCCCATTCATGTGAAAATCTAGAAACTATAGAGACAGAAAGATTAGTGGTTGCCAGGGGTGGGAGATATGTTAATAATCTATTGGCAACTTCTTTACAATTTATATTTCACTTTCTAAAATAACTAAACATGGTTAACAAAAGTATCTACCATTAATATCATCTAATATTTGGTCTTTTCAAAATATTTTCACTCTATGTTAGAAAAATCATGTTTAAACAAAGCGATCCACAAAATGAAAACTATCAAATTAAAATGCACCATCATACCACTAAATTTTCAATAACCTGTAGGTACAAAGAACAACTCTTAAAAAGAAATGGCCCCATTCATAAGCACACTCAATTTCAAATAGCAAGTAAAGTTGTAACACTTAAACGTCACTTTTTAAATAATCTTTGCTTTGTTGGCTGACCGCAAATATACTGAAATAGTTCCCCACGCTAAAATCGTTAGACCTTGACACATGTAAATAATAAATGAGATTTAAAAGGCACACGTTTTCATTAAAATGTAGACTATATTCTGAAATATTACAAGTACCAATCAATATACACAGACGTATTCCATTTTAGCACATATAGATTTGAAATTTCGTTTTATTATGCAATGGCATGAAATATTGTCATACTGTTCTATAACCCGGTTTCAAAAGATCATACGCATTAACATTTTTAACGGGTAAAACTTAACATTGTTAACATTTTTTAAATGGTCAAATTTCTAAAACCTCAGCGTTAAAACTTTATTTCAAAGCCTGTGCTCACAGGAAACCATTGTATTCAGTAAAACAGAAAAGTTGAACAGCTTATCTAAGTAACCACTTTTTGTTCAATTAGCTTTCATCTTGTTCTGACGTTTATTGTTCGCACTGCAGTTTTTCACTTAAACGAAAAAAAGATAACACGAATTCAATCAGGTAAGGATGGTCACCTCTATATTCTTTTTATTACTAAAAGCAACGGTCCTCTTCTCTTAAGCCCTATCCTCCTCCACCCAAATCAAGAAGAGTCCAGACGCGGACCGCCCCCACCAACTCGACCCAGGAAACTTCGGAACCTGACCCCCAAGTCCCGAATGTCCATGGTCGACACCGCCCACCATGGGACTCGCTCTTCCCGCCCACACAGCCTTCCGCTCAACACTCGGACAGGCACCCGCCCGACCCTGCGTCAGCGCCGGCGTCACCCCGCCCCCAGCCCGCGAGCGCGCGGCCGACGCGCGAGCACGACTCGCCGCCCCCGACGGCCGCCCAAGGCCCTCGTGCCGGTCACACCCAGACCATCCGCGGCCACGGGCTTTGTTCCGCAAGGAGTCCGGCGTTTGAGAAGGTGCACTCCGGCTTCACCCACACGGTCAACCCCTGGCTGCCGGCAGCTGGCAGAGGGTCAGAGTCAAGTCAGAGGGGGAAAGCCCACAGCCCGGCCGGGAACCGACCTGTGGAGACCGCCATCTTCTCCTGCAGCCGACGCAGCCGTCTGCACGCACGGCGACGCCTGCGTCACTTCCGGGAACGCGCTGGCCAGCCTGCCTTTGCAACTTTATCTCGTAACTGTGAACTCCGCCCACGGCAGCGGGTTCTACAGCTACCTGGGGAAGGGGTATGGTTCTTGGCTTCTGCGTGGGCAGCTTCCTAAACTCCGCAATTCAAAACAAAACGTTAAAGAAGAAGTTTATAGGGCGGGTCGGAAGACAGAGTTGAGTCAATTACCATAGTGTAGGGCAAAAGACAAAGTGAAAATATTTAAAAGGCATGTGCAGTGGGACTGAGATCAATACTGCAGCCGCGTGTGCCACGAGCGTTTACGTAGTGAGTGCTATAAGGAGAAAAACCGCGCTGGTTTTCAAACCTTTAGGGCGCTTTAGAAAAAATAAATATGTGTGTATAACATCTATAACAGCGTTTTACATTGATTAAATATTGAAATAATATTTTGCTATATTAAAGTACGTTATTAAAAACCATAGCAAAATGTGGCATTGACAAAGCTGTGTTGAAAATGTTTTAAAAGGCTTGTGCAAAATATTTCAGGAAGCCCTAAGAATTAAGTCAACTTATATTTTACTCGAGCTATGCATAATAGTGAAACGATTAAAATCTGTGTTAAATCATTTCAAAGAGTATAAAGTTTCTAAGCAATTAGGAAGAATTATGTCATTCAAAAAGCAAAGATTTTTACATCCTTAGTTTTCACACAAGCAACACAATAGAAATGTTGCCATCCAGTATTTTGTAACTATTGTTTAGATCATTTTAAAGAGTTTGAGCAAAACTGACAATTGCCTGCAAGCAAATTCTCAATGAATTAAGAAAATGGTCCGGTGAATAGCAGTTTTGCAGCTTATTTTATACATTAGAATCAAATGGGAGACCTAAAAAGTTCATGAAATCCATTAGTGGTAAGTAGGTTAAGGGAGTGGGAGAAAGCAAAGCAGGGCAATCTCTGGGATTAGATACAAAGTGAAATGAAGCGACACATATTTCTTTTACATTGGTAGGTACAGGATAGTTAATATTAACAACACATAGAGATATTATGTAGGGGGACAAGGTAACAATGAGAGGTTCTGTGGCGGTGTTCTCTGGTGTGGGGAAGGGATTACTTTGACATTCCAAGGGTATGTTATCTTAGAAGCAGAAAGACAACAGACAAGCTTACTTGCAGTAAAGATGGACCTATCTCAAGAAAGCTATAGGCCTAGGATGTGGCTACCCACTATGAGCTGCTTTAGTTAGGAATTTTTATATTCAGATCATCCTATGTGGCTAATTGTGGTCTCCTGAGTTTGTAGGGCCTACCATGTGAGCCTCCGCTGAGCTCAGATTTGATATGTGGCCTCTTTTTCATCTACAGTATCGTAGCTCTAAATAGCTGCTTCATACATATAGCAGCTATTTTATAAGAAATAAAACTAAACCTCGATTTTAATGACTTTCCTAAGAGCACATCTATCAATAGTTACAACAGAGCTGAGATTTAAAATTCTGACTCCGAAGTCAATGCTCTTCATTACTGGTTTTCTTCACAATCCTGGGCCTAAGAGTAGATGTTGATGATACTTTAGTGGTACTCACCAGCCTGAAACTAACTTTTAGTGGTAATTGTTATGCAAGGGGCAGAGGCTGGAAGATCCTATTCTTAATTTCTGAATCTGCTGGAGTGTCAGCTACTTTTTCTTCCCAGATGGCCAAGCTATATCCTCTAATATGAAGTGACACAATATAGAATTCTTTTAATGTTTGTTCATTCTCTGTGATAGGCAGCCTCTAAGATGGCTCCTGGGACTTATGCAGAAACATGGCAGAGTGAAAGACGTCCCTAGATCTCTCACCTTGAAACAACAATAAGCTGAACATCTAAAACTCAACAAAAAAAAACACCCAAACTGCACATGAGCACGTCTGAGCATGGGACCTGCGCATAAGAGCTACCATAGGTCAGAACCCATGGACTAGGAAAAATAAAGACGCTGCCTCTCACAGCCTCTGGAGCTCCCTGCAGGGGAAGGAGAGGGGAGAAGGAGCTGTGAGTTCATGAGGCCAGTTCCCTGATGGATCACACCAGGAGCAGCTGTAAGATCCCCTTGGCTAGCTGGCTACAGGGCCCAGTCATCAGCGCAGAAAGCAGAGAAGTGGCTGGCAGAGAAAGAACAGTTGATTTTTATCGATCGTGGTTGCAAAACCTAGGCTGGGCCGCAGCCCCCAACCCACACCCAGAGAGCCCCTCCCCCATATCCTCTGAGACCAAACACCTTGGAGCCCCAGGGGAATCTGAGCAAACACTGCCGAGACCATCCCTGACACTGACAGGCACTGAAACTGAGGGTACCAAGCATGATTAAATATCTACAAGAAACTTTCTGAGAAAGGCATTTTAAGCCTTTATATAAAGCAGGGATCCAAGAGGCTTAGACGTCACCTACTGGAAACCAAAAGAAAAGGGCTTTTTTTACAACAGGCTAAAAAGAGACCTTTATATAATAAATCGTTCTGTAAAAGCAGCAAAATACACTTCCATAAATGCCCAGGTAGAGAAATAGTCCATTAAATATGACTAACCAAGGTAACAAGGCATCTCAGAAATCAAGAGAAAAATCTCCAGAAAAGAAGCTTACAGGCATAGAAATATGCGACTTAAATGACAGAGACGTCAGGATCGTACTTCTGGAAAAACTCAATGTGTTCCAAAACGAGTCATATCAACAACTTCAGGAATTAAAAAAAACTATATGAGCAGAGCAAGGAGATTGAAACCCTCAAAAAGAACCAAATAAAACTTCTAGAGATGAAGAACACACTGCAAGAGATGAAAAATGAAATAGCAAGCTTGAGAAATAGAGTCAACCAAATGGAGGAAAGGATCAGTGATTTCGAAGACAGAAATCTAGAAATGAATCAGAAGGAAGAAGAGAGAAACTGAAGAATGAAAAATAATGAAAGAGAAATTCAAGAACTAGCTGATACCATCAGAAGAGGAAACATAAGAATAATGGGCATTACCAAAGGTGAGGAAAAGGAGTAGGGACTAGAAAACATTTTCAGACAAATAGTGGATGAGAATTTCCCAAATCTAAGGAATGAGCTGGAGCTTGGAATGCAAGAAGTCAACAGAATATACAATTATCTCAACCTAAAAAGGCCTTCACTAAGACACATAATATTAAAGTTATCAAAAATCAATGAAAAAGAATTCTCAAGACAGCCAGGGAGAAAAAAAAACTAACTTATAAAGGTAAACCCATTAGATTATCCTCAGACTTCTCAGCGCAAACCTTAAAAACCAGAAAGGAATGGAATCAAATATTTAAACTAGTAAGTGAAAGGAAATACGAGCCTAGAATAATGTATCCAGCTAAGCTCTCCTTTAGATATGAAGGAGAAATTAAGATTTTTCCAGACATACAGAAGCTAAGAGAATTCTCCACTACGAGGCCTGCACTATAAGAAATACGGAAACAAATGAAAAAACAAAATACATAATTAGGAGTAAGGCAACTAGCAGGCAAATAGAAGCAGAGAAGTGCAATCCTTACTAAGACTAGGGCATTATAAGCTTAAATAATAATAAGAATTGTTATAACAAGATAGTAATGAACGTTCAGCATACGTAGGAACAAATTGAGATAACGACGACTGAAAAGGGGGGGATACAAAGATCCATATTCATAAAGGAAAATGGAGATAAGGCACAAGCATAAGAAAATGGACAACTATATATATAACTATCCTTTTCACATTCATAATGGTAACCACACACCAAAGATTCAGAGCTGAAGTATAGAACATAAAACAAGAAGAACCAGAGTCAAAACCCAAAAAAGCCAACCAAAATAAAGAAAACAGAAACACAAGGACAAGGAAGCAATGGAAACACCAAGCTAACAGAAAGCAAAAGCTAAAATGGCTATAAGAAGACCTCATATTTCAATAATCACCCGAAACATAAATGGACTAAACTCACCAATGAAAAGGCATTGAAAAATATTTATTGATGCCCTTTGTATGCTGACAATTTTGAGAGCCTTGGTAAGGGCAAAATATGTTTAGGTAAAGGCCCCTACCTATAGTTGGTCAGTGAAAACACCTATTTAGTACTACGAGTTCCTTAGAAACCTATAACATAGTGGTACTTATAAATTAAATCGGAAATTTAGTGTTGACTTCAGGTGGTTCCTTTTTTTTTTTTTAGGCGAGGCAACCCTTAGTTGACCTCACAGATTGCAAGGATCTTGTCAGCTTACATTCCCTTATTTTTTTATTTTTTATGCCTATAGCACCTGGTCCTCCTATGTGGTCTCCCATCCAAGTACTAACCAGGCCTGACCCTGCTTAGCTTAACACTTATTAATATCTATGCTCCCAATCAGGGAGCCCCAAAATATGTAAAGCAATTAGTAGCAGAACTAAAGAGAAAAAACAGACCAAAACATTATTATAGTAGGGGACCTAAATACCCCACTGTTGGATATGGACAGATCATCCAAACAGAAAATCGATAAGGAAATAACATCCTTAAGTAACACATTAGACCAACTGGACATAATTGGCATTTACAGAGCCTTCTATCCCTAAACAGCTGCTTATACATTCTTCTCTAGTGCACATGGAACATTCTCAAGGATTGACCACATTCTGGGACATAGAGATAACCTCGACAAATATAAGAGGGCTGAAATCATACCAACCATCTTCTCTGATCATAATGATTTTAAACTAGAGAGCAGTTGCAAAAAGAAATCAGGAAGAACCACAAATACATGGAGATCAAACAACATGCTACTGAAGAATGACTGGGCCACAGAAGAAATAAAAAAGAGAGATCAAGAGATACATAGAAGTGAATGATAATGATAGTACAACGTATCAAAACTTTTGGGACATGACAAAAACGGTCATAAGAGGAAAGTTCATTTCATTACAGGCCTACCTCCAAAAACAAGAATGAGCCCATATAAACAACCTAGCGCTTCATCTTAAGAAAACTAGAAAAGGAAGAACAAATGAGGCCTAAAGTCAGCTGAAAGAAAAAAATCGTCAAAATTAGAGCAGAAATAAC